TCTGCACTCAGAGACAGGAATGGTATACTGGTTAAGAGGACGGGCTCTAGGATTTCTAAACCAGAGAGTCCATATACCAGCTGTGTGACTCCCTTGCCCCATTTTAGATTCTTCATCTGTGAAATGAGGATGATAAGAAAAAATATTATCCATCTCAGAGGGTTATTGTATTAAACTAGTTAATACATGAAAAATGCACAGAACAGTGCCTGGAATATAGTAAATGTACAGAAAATGTTAGTCATTACAATTCTCCCCATAGATGATATATCCCAAATTTTTAGGACGCAGAGAACAACAAAATTATAGTTGACTCCTGAACAACATGGATTTGAACTGCATGCATCTACTTATACATGGATTTTTTTACAGTACTATAAATATATTTCTCTTCCTTGTGATTTTCTTAACATTTCTTTTCTCTAGCTTACTTTATTATATAAAAACAGTATATAATATATAGAACATAATAATATGTGTTCATCAAATATTTATGTTATTGGTAAGGCTACTGATCATCAGTAAAGTTTTGGAGGCGTCAAAAAGTTATATGCTGATTTTTCGACTGTGGGATGTGCAGGTGTCAGCATCCCTAACCCCTGTGCTGCTCAAGAGTCAACTGTATTTGTTAATACCATACTGTTAATACCAACTGTATTTGTTAAAACCACTCCAATACCATACTGTTAGAGCTGAAATGACTCTTAGGAATCAATTCTAGTTCAACACTCTCATTCAATTAATAGTGCCCTGGTAAGACCAGAGCTACATGGTCTGACCAGCATTAAAACCCAGGTTTCCTGGGGCACCTGGGTGGCTCAGTCGGTTAAGCGTCTGACTTCAGGTCATGACTCGGGGTTTGTGAGTTCAAGCCCCGTGTGGGGCTCTGTGCTGACAACTCGGAGCCTGGAGCCTGCTTCAGATTCTGTCTCCCTCTCTCTCTGCCCCTCTGCCACTCATGTTGTCTCTCTTTCTCTCTCTCAAAAATAAACATTAAAAAAAAATTTTTAAACAAAACAAAACAAAAACACCAGGTCTCCTGATTCCTATCCAGTGCTCACACTTCTGTATTTCCTATTTTTAATGAAAATAGTAGGGTCGTTCAGTCTTTTCTCTCTGCAAACCAACAGGCCATCTTCTGGAAAGAGCCAGAGCTCTGAAAACATTTGGGAAGAAATCATACTCATCAAAATTTTCAGGAAATACTGCTTCAGGTAGCACATTTTGGGGGAGGTAGCGTAGGTAGGCTATAATTTATTTCCCAAGAATCCATACCCAAGAGATACAAAAAACAAAAATTTGAAACATTATTAATTCCTTTCAGGAACAATTAAATATTCTTCCTTGGGAGGGCATAATAATAAATATTAACTAAATCCTTTCTAAGTTTATAACACAATATTACATGCCTTTTTTTTTCTAATCCTCAGAGCACAGCCCCCCTTCCTCAAGTTGCCTTCTTACATACTGCTACAGTTACTGGTATTTTCCTTGCTCACCATACATATCACAGCTTATGCAATTGCTTGCTTACTTGCTTTGACAGTCCTCAGACTATAAGCAGAAAAAAGACAGGGATCTCAATGATCAGATACACCATTCATTTCTTCTTTCAACAGATATTCCTGAGCATGAATGAGACAGAAATGGTCCTGGCTTACTGGAGCAGACTATACTTGTAGCAATATCTCATTCCACATGCTTTTCTTACAAAGTGTCCTCAACATTCTTTCCATGGAGGTCCTTCCCCTTGAACACGCCCTTACAGACTACAATGGAAGTGATGCTATGTGACTTATAAGGCTAGATGATAAAAATGCAATGCATTTCCACCTTGGTCTCTTGGGACGGACCCTCTTAAGAGTCTGGCTGTCATACTGAGGAACCCCACACCTGGCCCATGAAGAAAGACCACATGGAAAAGTAACCAGACATGGAACCAAGGGACACACCTTCCCCACGGTGCCTTGTTTGAAATCCTGACTCACAGAATTATGAGCATAATAAAATGAGTTCCTTACACTATTAAATTTTGGGGTGGTTTATTATGCAGTAATGGCAACTGGAACAACCATTAATAAATATATGGCTTAATATCTACCAAGGAGTAAAGATACTGAACACATGACTCTAAGGTATTGCCTACACCTAATGGTAACTGGAACAGAGTAAATTATTTGTTGAGTGTCCAAGGTAGTTATTATTATGCCCATTTTGTAGATGAGGAACTGAGCTTTGAAAGGTGAAGCAACTTGCCCTAAGCCTCTCAGCTGGCCAATAGCAGAATAAATTAAAACTCAGATCTGCACCCACACTCATAACACCATACTCTGTCTCCCTTGGTACTTACATTTTTGTGCTAAATATACAGTAATGTTTCAAAATGAGATTGTCAGTACTGAAAATATTCTGGCCCACTAGAATTCACCATGAAGTTTCATCACTGAGATGGAAATCCACATATCACCTTCTCACAGAAGTCTTCTTTGACCTTCCTAGCTCAAGTAATGCCAGCTCCCTCACCCTCCCCAGCCATTCTTTCTACTCCATCACGATTTCATTTTCTTCACAATACTTATCCCTAGCTGAAATTCTCTTGCTTCTTACATTTGTTCTTGTTCACGTGTCTACTCTCTGTATCTCTGACTTGAATATGAACTCTGTGAGCAGGACCCTTATCTGTCCTGTCTATTCCAAGATCCCCAGTGCCTAGTACAGTGCCTGGAATATGGTAGGTGATCAAAAATTAATTATTTACTGAAGGAGTGACCACCCAACCTCATCACCTGCCAATAAATATGCAAATTGGAAGGATAAAGCAAAGTTTAAAACATCAGGACTGCATCAGAATCACTCCATCCAGTAAGGTTGGTACAAAAAAAGGAGAGGAGAATCCATGCTACCACTCTTCTACTTAGAAAAAGCATAAACCCTGAATTCCAAAGGAGATGTAGGTAAGGGGATGGGGTGGGGGTGGAGGTCACACCGATCTCCCATTCATAACCACTGTCCCCTCAACTCCTCAAAAAAAAAAATCAGTTTCTTCAGACACATTGACTGAAGCACACCAAGGACAACTGTTGGTGACCCTCTAACACCAGACCTTCTATCCTTCACCTGGCCTTTCCTTATATACCAGTCCTGGGATGCAGGTGCTGTTCTCCCCAAGGTCCGGAAGAAGCAGTAACCTAACTCTTCAGGGAGAAGGTGAGTAGGGGGATCTTCATAGCCAGGGAAAGGGTCTCTGCATGTGCAGGTCTCCAAAGACCATATTTCTCCCAAAAGGAAAAATGATTGTTCCTGAGGACCTACCAAGTGCTAGGCACCTATGCTGGCTCTTAAACCTGCTTTAGGGTCGTTCCTTACCTCCAACCCAAGAATTTAGGGAGGCCTCAAGCACAACTTCCTCATCTCACCATTTCCCAGACCCGCTACTCCTCATCCCCTAGAAATCCTCAAAATCCAGGAGCGGTTAGAGAGGATAAAAAGAAACCTGGCGTGGCCTAAGAGACAGAACGGGAGGGGGATCGTGTTAGCATAAGAAGAGGGTTATACTGGGCTGGGGCCCAGTATGAGTAAAGATTAATATAAGAAGGCAGTCTGACCCTTTCCAAGCCCAATATGTCCATCAGAAGAGGTGATGAGAAGCAGGAAACTGAAGCTCAGCAAACAAGTGGCCCCGAGATGAGACCGAAGCTCCATGGTGGTAGGTGCGCGGAGCCACCGGGCTGAGCAGACGGAGGAGGACCCAGAGTCCTAGCAGAAGGTCCGTGCCGTTCCCCAAGTGCGGCTCAGCCCAACCCCTCGCGTTCCCAGATTTTTTTTTTCCTAATCGTGAAGGAAGTGATGTTAGACGGATGTGGGTGGTGCCTCCGGGGTCTGGTTTGAGATGGAGTAAGTTTAAAGGTGCAGATCACGTAGAAGGGTGCGGGAATTGCTCTCCTGCGCGACCTGCTTCCCCTCGATTCTGGATATTCAGTCCGAAGACTGAGAAGGAGAAGGTGGGCCGAGATAGTGGGGGTGGGGAGAGGGCTCAAGAGAACCGTTGCTGGTTGCCTCAGCCTGCAAGCTAGCCCCTCCCCCCAAGAACCGCTGCACTTAATATTCACAACGCGAATTATTGATCGGTGAAGTCAGCTGCTCCCTACAGTGGGCGCGTTGCCCATTGGCCTCCCCTTTCCTCCTCCGCAAAAAAAACCAAACCAAACCAAAACAAAACAAAAAAATCCCAAAAACCTAGACTACGCGATTTCATTCTTAGGTTCCTGCTCTGGTCACGAGGAGACCTGGCAAACCTGTTCTGCAGTGTATTGTCTCGTGCCTTGCAAGAATGCCCCTTCCTGCTGGAGAAGCAGCGCTGGACCTTATTTTTCCTTGCAGCCGCAATTCGTCCACTCTGGGATGATGCAACCAACCGATGCAAGCTCCCAGAAAACCAAATTTCGAATCCCTTATTGCAAAACTAACCCAGATCTTCAGGGAACGAGGACAAAAGTCACTGCAGACATTTAAAGCGTAAAACTTCTTCTGGTTAAATCTACTTGACTTGTTTTTAAACTTTGTGGGTTGAGTATTTCTCCTCAAGTTTTCCTCTCTGATTTACATAACAAACGGTAAAATTTCCCATCTCTCCTCCCAGTAGAAGCTAGTTGAGTCAATACACTAGTGAGTCCGCACTAGTTGACTCCGACAGTGCGTAGTTAATGAGTAGTGAAAGACATGAGACAAAAATACATCCTCAAACAAAAATACACACCTCTTTTTTATTAGTACCCTTACAAAATTGTAGGCACAATGGAATCCTCGGGAGACTGCAGGCTCCAGAATGCAGTGCGGCCACCTGCACCTGCCGCATTTCTATTGGTAGGCGCAGAGCAGGCTGGGTTTTGTAGTTCTATATGCGCTCTCCACGATAGGCTGCTCTGGTGAGAGAGAAAGAGAGGCGGAGCCGGTTGTGTCACGTGGGCCCCGCTCCCGCCGCCGCTGCTGCCGTCGTCTTTCTCTGTCTCGACTGAGGCAGCCATCTTGCTCTTGCCGCGTGCTGTTGTTGGAGGACCCTCCCTGCTTCAGGTGAGACCCCCGGCGGTCCCGCCACTCCACGGCCATAGGCCGCTGCGCACGGTCTCCCCCCGCCCTCTTTTTCCGACACCCGCCAACCATTCGGGCTGCCACTTCCGCCGTGGCGGGCCGAGTGGGGGCGGAGGCGGCTGGTTTGGCTTGTCGGTTACCGGCGGCGCAGCTGGGGGTCGGCACCTGAGGGAAGGTCCCCAGCACCATCGCCCCCTATGGGGGCGAGCGGGGACCCGCGGTGTTGCCTCCCAGATCCAGTCCCAGGAGGCGGGTTACCCCCGCCTCTCTCCTGTTACTCTATTCACAACAACAATGCTGTGACAACAGCCTATCTGTTGTCATCTCGTTTGATCGTCCCACTCTACAGATAGGGAAACTGAGGTTAGCAGCCCCCGGCCCCCAAGCGCTTGGGACTGAATTCCGTTGCAGCTCTGTTCACCTCGCAATGGCAGTATTTACAATTCTGATTCCCTCTCTGAGACATTGCCTTGTCCATCTCGATAGCCCCATCAAACTGCCTGATGCATAGTAGGCTGTCAGGAAACAGATGATTGACCGACGGGCACCCTGTTACACCGCTAGTGAATGGCGGTTTCAACTTCCGTTCCCACGTTCTTTCACTTATACCATAGATGTTCCCTCGGGAGTGGTAACAATAGTTACCAGTTTTTGAATATATACTGTGAGCCATACCCTGTGCTTGTTAACTTAACCTTTAACCTTTAAAACAGCCCTATGAATTGTGTAGTGTTAAACCTTTTCTAATACAGAAGGAACACAAGTTCAGAAAGTAAAATACCTTTCTGAAGTCTTAAGGGGTAGAACCTTGATCCTTTTGATTACAAAACTTGTGCCTCTGTTAGAGGAACCCCACATAATAAAAAGTCAGGACAAAGGATTGAAATTACTTTATCTGTGTAAACAAAAAGAAAGTGCCTAGCATAATGCTTGGAACTTAGGCACTCAATAAATATTGATCAGAACCTCATTATTTACACTTTTCTTGAGTCCTTGAGTAAAGGGCTAACCGATCCTAGGATCCCCAAGGAAGAACGCAGTAATTTATATTCTTAGGAAGTTCTTCCTTTTGGGTCTAGGAAGTGACTTGTCCCTTCTGGACCTTCATTTCCAAATCTGTTAAATTAGGAGGGAGGTGAACTGTTTTATTTGTTCATAATTTTTTAATACCCTGCTGCTGCTTGCAGGTATTTGAGATGGCCTCACATACAAGACAGGAATAATGGGTACAATGAAGTAAAGGTTGGTCGAAGAATAGGGAATTAAGCCAGGTGATCTTTGAGGTCTAGTCCAGATTCTGAGCTTGACACCTCATCTCTCATAGACTGAGTCCAGTCCTCTTTTCTCCTTCAATTCCACATACCCCAACCTGCTAATAGACAAAGGACTGTCTTTCTTTCTCCCCTTACCCCTTGAGAACATCCCTAAAATGCTTTTTCTCTGAGATAATTCTTGGGAACAAGTTTTCTGTTACACTGATTACCTGGAATGGAAATCTGTTCTTTCATCAACACATTGATATAAAGAGTTAATTTTGTTTTTGCTTTTGTTTCAAACAAGTCAAGACTCTTTATCTTGACTTCATTCTCTTGTTTTCCATCTCTTCTCTTGGGGATTGTTACTTCAAAATGCAGAAGAGCCCCTAAGGTTTACATTGTATCTAGTTCTAATATTTTTCACTTCGTCCCTTTTTTGTAAAAAAAAATTCCTTAGGCTCTATACTAAGTTCACTATACTTTCATGGCCACATTCCTTTGAGAAAAGTGAATATTGGTCCTCTTCTATGGATATTGAGTATAGACATTGGGATTTGCATCAGCAAATTTAATTAAGTCTGGCAGAGTTGAGATTGACCTACACCTAAGCCTTCTGGCTTTGTACTCCTCCTGTTAAAGCGTGTTTTTAGCTGCTTGAGCATTGTGATACAGTGCTGAGTAAAGATTGAGGAACTATAAATTCTGAATGTTATTTGGGAACTGGACTTTATTTGGCCTTGAAGCATGTGTATGTGTATATATATATGTGTATATATATATATATATATATATATATATATATATATATATATATATATATATATATATATATATATGCATACACACACACACACACACACACACACACACACACACAGGTTAGTGCTCCAGTAGTGTCAGAAAACAGAACAATTAGTACTTATATAATCTTTATTCTCTTTCATCTCTCAAATGAAGACATTATCTTTTTCATGTGAATGATAATTATAAAGAGGTTAGAGAATTGGCCAAAAAAGGTTTGAGAACAGCCTTTATTCCCTCTCTCACATCTTGGTAATGATCTGTTGTTCCACAGAACAAGTAAAACAAGACTTTTAACCTTGGCTTTTATTTGTTTATATAGTGTGGAATGTTACAACCCATTATAAACTTAACTTTTTTTCTCTAGTCAGGAATGTCACTGACCAGATTAGGTTTTATGGCTTTATAATTTTCTTAAGAGTTTTCAAAATCAAAATTGGCCTTAAAAAGGCTATTTCTAAGACTCTCCTCCCCACTAAGCACTCACAAAAATTTAGTATTAATGTAGCAGAGATGTTTTTGTCAAATTGTGCAGTGAGGAATTTTACCTAGTGTGCAAGAATATCTTGACAAGTCTGACATACTATATCAGTGCAAGGTACTGAATGAACTCTGTGGAAAGGGCTGCTGAAGTGCTGAATGTCTGAAAATCTGGCTCTCTTTTCCTGTTATTAACATACCATCTGACCTTGAATAGAAGATGTGACTCCCTCATATCTTGACAGCTAGAGAGCCTACTGTTGAATTTCTTCTTTGTCCTGCTTTTTCTTCTTCTTCTTTTTTTTTGTTTTCTATTTATTTATGGGCACAAGGTTATTTATGGCTCATTTATTATTTGAGAGAAAAAAATCTACTTAAAGGTTGTGCTGGTAACATTTGGTAACTGCTCTCTGTTGTAAAAACCTTTGGGGGAAAAACTGGCTTGTCTATAGAGATTTTCTAATTGGTTAGGTTTTACTGAATGCCCAAGAACTGAATTATGCATTTAAGGAGGGATCCTCAAATAGGTAACTTTGAATCCTATTCTATTTTATGTTTGTGTATTTGACTCCCTGGTGGTTTTATTTAATTTTCATTCTCTTAATATCTGGTTTATGAGCGAGAACAAGTTATTAATATTTATTAAGACTATATAGACAGTATTAATATGATCACAGTGGTAATGCCTATTGCAAGCCTAGTGAACCAGAAGGTACTGTTGCATAAACAGTTATTTTATTTTGGTAAAACAGTGATTTTAACAAATGTATTTTTCCCCCCCTAGATTTACCAACAGCATGAATCAAGAAAAGTTAGCCAAACTTCAGGCTCAGGTCCGGATAGGGGGCAAGGTGAGTGTGGCATAAGAAAAATTGATAGGAAAATGTATTATCAGAAAGTAGTATTATTTTGGATTTGTGGTCATTGAAAATCTAAAATCTTTTCAATAATCAAGATCAAACCACATTCCAATTTGAAAAAACTTGTCTAGATTTAATATAGGTAACTAGAAGACTTCTCTCTCTGGTGGTGCAATGTTAATAGCCACCTTTGTTTGAATCCTCTTAACATCTGGTAGTTATGTGACATGAACAAGTTACCCAACCTTGTTAAGCTTCCATTTTCGCATGTGCAAAATAAAAAAAATCCTGCATAAGATACATCTAAAGATTAGAGTAATACTTACAAAACACCTATCTGGCACAGAATAGATACTTAATAAATGACAGCTGTTATTATGTTAGGCTCATTTACAGGGCATCCCAGATGTTGAGGTTACCTTATCTTGACTGGATACACCTATTTGTACAGTTAGGCTTATAAGTGGTTTAACTGGAGATGCTCAGACTGATTATACTTTTTTCATTGCTGGGTTTTCCTCCCAAATTCCTGTCTGTTCTTTGTTGGTCAATATAAGCATGAACATTCTTATTCCATGTATTTTGAAGCCCAAAGAAAAGCTTGTTCTGAGAATCTTTGATTCCCTTCAGCTTTTGCCCCAGGCTTAAGGAGAATACTCTGCCCTTATCTCTGCCTAGTATAATATTTGTAAAAGGAAAAGAGATAGTACTTAGCTCAGACCTGGAAGGCGGTAGGTAGGACACTATGTAGCAACTCTACCTGTCATTTACTTTGATGATTACCACAACTCCTAAGAATGGAGATAAAAGGGGAAGGAAAGAAGTGACTAGTACTTTCTCCTTCTTCCATAGTGACACAGGTATAGGACTCTGGAGTCATATTAACATACTCATGTAACTAAAGTAGTCACATGGTAGCATCAAGTCTAATGCAATGTACAAATGAAAAAACTAGGGATATTCAGGAACCATAGAATATACCTGGAAGAGCTTGATGCAGCACATGACTGTTACACATTTTAAACCAGATGGTTCACACATTCATTCATTTAACTAGTTTACTGAGCACCTACTATGTGCTTGGCACATAGTAGATAACCTAGTCAGGGTTTTCTTCTCTTGACATAACTAAGCTTGGAAGAGAGACGTGCTCACAGTTACACTACTGGGTAGTAAATGTTAAAATGAAGTACAAGGTGCTTTTGCCTAGGAGGGACAAGGAAGTCATCCCTGAGCCGAGATTTGGAAAACAAACAAGAATTTATAACTAGGTAGACTGGTGAGGGTAAAGGTGTGAGGTGACGAGGGGATTGTTATTCTCATACATGCTAAGGCACCTAAGATGCTGAGATAACATGGTGCTTAATGGAATGGCTTGTTTTAGTTTGGTACAGTTAGAGTTTAGACTATCCAATGGATAAAGAATGGTAGGAAACTAAACAACCAGGTAAGTCAAGGTTATATCGTAGTCTTATATGCCATATTAAGGAGGTTAGGATTTTATCCTATAGGCAAGGGGCAACTATTGAAGGATTTTAAGAAGAATAGTCATGGGGTGCCTGGGTGGCACAGTCGGTTGAGTACCAACCACTTCACAGGTCACACTGCATGTCCGTGAGTTCAGCCCGGCCGGGCTTCCTGGGCTGATGGCTCAGGAGCCTGAGCCTGTTTCCCATTCTCTGTGTCTCCTCTCTCTCTGCCCCTCCCCCGTTCATGCTCTGTCTCTCTCTGTCCCAAAAATAAATAAACGTTGAAAAAAAAAAAATTAAAAAAAAAAAAAAGAAGAATAGTCATTTTAGAAAGGTAGGTGCTAACAACATGGAAAATGGAAATGAAATAGAAGTCTGGCATAGAGGAGAATGATTGAAAGGCTGCTGCTGTAGTATATGGAACACAAATTTAGGAGTTGGAATTGACATGACTCAGAATACAGAGGAGGGATGACCCCCAGATTTCTGGTTTTAAAGACTAAATATATGGTGGTACTACCAGCTACAAATCTAGGAAGAATAGTTTGGTGGACTGGTAAGCTTTTAGACATATTGAATTTGAGGTACTGAGGATCATTTCATTTGAGCAAGCGATTGAGCTTTCCCTGAGTCAGGAATGTTTCACAAATAAACGAGGATCTATGAAAATAGTCCTCCTAGTCCATCCTCCAGCAACTGGATTTTGTCACATCCTCTGCTGCTACTCACAGAGCTCTCTTTCACTCCCATCGGCATTGCTGAGATGGTAGCCCCTGCCTACTGTATAAGGCTGGTTCCCTGAGTACTGCGGGAACTACCCAGAGAATTAAATCTCTCTTCCTTTCCCCTTACTCCTGCCAGGTGTCAGAAAGATTTAGCCCTCAAGACGTAGGCTTCTTTTGGTAATGTTTTATTTTTGCTGTAGGTTACATTTTTGTAAATTGGCCCAGGAATTTAATCCATTATTTTAAATAACTTTTCAATGGAAATCTATATTAAGAGTTTCGAAGTATCCATTTAGAAATGAGCTCTTTCTGTCTTTGTGAATAGTGTAATTTTCAACCTATTTGCTCAGGCCAAATTTCTAAGCATCATTCTAGATTCCTTTTTTCCTCATATCCCACATCCAGTCTATTAGTATGTTGGTTCTTCTGACAGTCTAAGATCTCACCATCTCCACTGCCAGAACCCTCATCTCTCGTCAAGACTGCTACAGTAGCTTCCTGATTGATCTCATTGTAGTCCATTTTCTACAGCAACTTCAGTCATCTGTAAAAATCATAATAAAAATCATAAATGAGATCAAATCATTCCCATGCTTAAAACCTTCCTATTGCAATCGGAATAAAATCCACCTGCTGCCCATGGCATTCTAGGCTACATGATTTGGCCCTTGCCTGTCTTTCTGATTGCATTTTCCTCCTCCTCCTTTGTTCACTCTGCTCTAGCCATAACTGACCTGCTTTCTCTCTGTAGAAACAATAGGTTCACTCTTGTTTCATTCTGCTTGAATCACTCTTCCCCTAGATCTTCCCATGGGTCTCAGCTCATAATGTCACCTCTTCACTGAACATTCTAATAAAATAGTGCTTTGCCTTCACCCAATAAATATTCTTATCACTGTTTTTTTTTTTTCCCTTACTACCCTTATCCCATTTGAAAGGGTCTGATTTGTTTATGTATTTATTGACTTTTCCCTCTCATGTATGCTCCTTGAAGTAAGAACTTTGTCTTTTTCATTGTCAGGGGGTGGTAGGTACTGTAAAAAAACATTCCTTGTAATGTTTGGAAGTTGTTATAAAACACTAAATTACCTTGAAGTTATAAATTATTTTTATTAGAAAACTTTTGAAACATTGAAATGATAAATGGATATTTAGAGAATAAGAACTGGCTAGAACTGACCCTCAGAAATCTGGGTTAGGTTGACAGTCACAATTCTGAAAAGTCTTCTTCGTTGTTACTATTAAGTCAGCAATTTCTTACATGGATTTTAATTAGAATAGGAAGTCATGTGACTGTGGTTACCAGATGCAAGCATCTTAACACTTCTGTTTGGTTATTTTTCAGGGTACAGCTCGCAGAAAGAAGAAGGTGGTACATAGAACAGCTACAGCTGATGACAAAAAACTTCAGAGTTCTCTAAAAAAACTGGCTGTGAATAATATAGCTGGTATTGAAGAGGTACGGTCATTTTGTAAATTGTTAAATTGTGTGGACATATGGCACATTCACAAATATCCACACTTTTTGAATGTAAAATATCAGCTTAGAAGAATCTGATGTTGTCACTTAGGTAGCTTTGAAGAACTAGCTGTTGAATTTGCTGATTGTATAAAAATGGCTGATTGTAAAAAAAATAATTTTAGTGGACGGTTAAGGAATTCATCATACTTTTTGGACTCAGAATTTGCACATAAGACAAAATTATGGAACTGCTCTTGAATTTTCATGCAAAGTAACATTTTTTTCTAATAATATAGAAATAAAGAAACTCCAAGATTTCTTCAAATAAGGTGGACTTTTTTCCCATAAGAGCACCTTTCTACTCAACAATATCTCTTTAATTACCTCAGCCAAGAAGCTCTAGTAATAGCCTTACATGGATTGGATTTCTTATTAGACCCTTTCCAGAAATTATTGGCTACATTTTTTAAATCATTTTATTATATGTTGGTGATACTGCTTTTCTCAAATATGAAACCAAAGACTGATGTTATTTCAAAAGATACTCAAGAAAAATGATGATAACATCAACTATTTGTGATCTGTTACCATCTAGAGTCACTTCTGCCTGATGATTCATTTCCCATAGTAATCAATGTTTAAATTTTCACTGCCATAAATTACGTTGAATGTTTAAATTATACTTAATGATATCATTACTTTGTATGGTACCACCCCACAATTTTTAACAGATTGTTAATGCACACGTGCTGTAAAACAGATCAGAAATAATGTGGAGTCAAGGATCACTAAGAAATAGCAGAGTACCAAAGAAAAGGCAGTGAAATGGCCACATGTTCCTTCTAATATGCATGTATGAATAAATTTTACTACACTATTTAATTCTGCATTGTACTTTCAAAATTAGTATACTGAAGTAGTAGAAAATGTAAGCCACATGTATCTTTTTTTCCTTTTAGCTTGATGTGCCTGTGCATTCTTACTCTGATAAAGATAAGAACTTCATTTGCAAGTCTTGAAATTAAGCATTTTATATGCATTTTTCCTTCTGAGTTATTGAAAACTTTTATATATCTTTATTGACCTAAAATAATTTTCAGAGAGATCATTCTCTTTATCTGGGGTATATATGAGAGAAAAAAAAAATCTCAGCCTCTCTTAAAAAATCTAAAGCTTGGTAAAAAAGAACAATTTGTGGGGTGCCTGGGTGGCTCAGTTGGTTAAGCGTCCAACTCTTGATTTTGGCTCAGGTCATGATCTTACAGTTGTGAGATCAAGGCCCACGTCAGGCTCCGCACTGAGCATGGAATCTGCTTAAGATTCTCTCCTAGGGGCACCTGGGTGGCTCAGTTGGTGGAGCATCTGACTTCAGCTCAGGTCATGATCTCATGGTTTGTGGGTTCGAGCCCCACGTTGGGCTCTGTGCTGACAGCTTGGAGCCTGGAGCCTGCTTTGGATTCTGTGTCTCCCTCTCTCTCTGCCCCTCCCCCACTCATGCTTTGTCTCTCTCTCTCTCTGTCTCTCTCTCTCTCTCAAAAATAAATAAATGTATAAAAAATTTTTTTAATGAAAAAAAAAAAAGATTCTCTCTCCTTCTGCCCCTCTCCCCAGCTTGCTGTCTTTTTTTCTAAAAAAAAAAATACACAATAAGCTGCAATAATAGACAATAACTCTAATAATGCTAAACCTAAACAACTTGAATTTGTAAGTGTTTTGGCAGTCTTACATCTTCACCTACATTTCTACTCTCCAACTACCACCCACCCCACCCCACCACTTCAGCACTACTGATATTTTAAATCAGACAATTCTTTATTGAGGGAACTGTCCTGTGCTTTGGAGGATGTTTAGCAGCATCCCTGGCCTATACCCATTAGATACCAGGAAGCCCCCCCCCAAACCCTCCCCCCAATTATGACAACCAAAAATATCTTCAGACTTTGTCATATTCCCTGGGGGACAAAGTCACCCTTGGTTGAAAAATAACTCTTTAGAGAGGAAAAGATTCCATTTATACCACCATGATGTATAGATTTAACTATGTAATATAATATCTCCAAGGGCATGTTTTTCTTTTTTTTTTTTTTAAGTTTATTTATTTTGAGAGAGAGAGTGTGAGCAGGGGAGGGGCAGAGAGAGAGGGAGAGAGTGAATCCTAAGCAGTCTCCATACTGTCCAGAGCCTGATGCAGGGCTACATCCCACAAACCATGAGATCGTGACCTGAGCTGAAATCTAGAGTCAGATGCTTAACTGACTGAGCCACCCAGGCACCCTCAAGGGCATGTTTTTCTAAATGTTTGTTTTGTTCAGATTTGGGACACTTTATGGTTCTTATAATTAATAAAACTTTTCATGGTTGGATAGCATTAATTTTATAAATGTTTTATAATAAAATAAGGAAATCAGTCAACTAACAGTTTTTGATTTTTTCAGTATGCAGCTAAACTTGTTACAATGCTGTGCTGAGTTGATGGTATTACTGCAGTTGAAATTTTCTTAATAAAATATTTAATGATAGTCAACACTTAGTGAACATCTACTGTGTGCCAAACATTTTGCCAAGGACTTGCTAGGCAGTAGTGGAGCTTATTATGATCTAGTAGGGAAACTAATTGGTTAACTAGACAAATACAAATTATCCCATTTCAGCTTCACAATATCTCTTTGAATCAGTTGTTGTTGGCTACAGATGAGAAAGCTGAGACAGAATTAGGTACCTGCCCAAGATCACATAGCTAGTAAGTATTGGATTCCAGATTTGAACTAAAGTGTGTTAAAACCAGAGTTCATTCTGTTCATAAATTTATCCTGCTTTTGGTCTTTTTAGTTGTACTTTCTTATATCCACTCTTGGCCTTTTCCTCTCCTATCTCCCTGTTCATCAATACCCACCCCCTTCCCACCTTATGCCCTGTAATATTGAGCACCTACCATGGAGAATTCATTAGTTACACCATAACAGATAAATTCCCAACAGTATTTCCAAGGACATTGCTGTTTCTTTTTTTTTCAGGTCTTAATGCAGACATTATTTCTTCCAGAAACCTTCTTGTTAGTACCCATATACACTTGTGTAAAGAAGGGTTAGATGCCTTTCCTATGTGCCTTCGTAACATACTTATATTTTACATAATATACTTTTATTTTATATAATATACTTTCATTATAGCATTTATTAAACTGTAGTGTGAATTCGTTTTTGTTGGTACTACTGATGCAATTCCAACCTTTTGAGGAGTCATAGCTCCAAAACATTTCACAGAAAATTGATGCTACATAATAAGCATTACTACTTTCATTGCACCCCTACCCTGTGTGTGTGTGTGTGTGTGTGTGTGTGATGTATTCCAGCCCTCACAGACTAATTATACAGAGAAAATATGTATAAAAATAATTAACAATGCAAGGTAACAGGTATAAAATTTCTGAGTATTTGAACCTAAGATGGGAAGGAGTTTTACTTTTTTCGTACTTCTCCCTCTTTCTAAAATTGATTTTTTGAGAACTAAGATATTCGTACTTTATATAACACTTTGCAGATTTTGTGTAGGAATATCTAGTATACTATATATAACACGGTTTGCCTCAAACATTATGTTTTTTGTTACTATATTTAGAGTTTTTTTTCAAGAAAATTTTTTAAACAAAATGATGACACATACTGGGTTTAAAAACAGCTCTTCAGAGGGAGAAAAGAAACTACTGCATTCAATGTAAACATGAAGACATGTACAGAAGTTTTCAGAAACACAAAGATGTGAAAAAATATATCTTAGAATAGAAGAAACACATTACTGATTACAATTTTGTTATCTTTAGTTTCTTTAGTTTCAAACAATGTTTGAAACTTGTTTCAAAGTGCTGAACTCCGGGGTGCCTGGCTGGCTTAGTCAGTAGAGCGCGTGACTCGAGCTCCACTTTAGGTGTAGATTTTACTTTATTATTATTTTTTAAGAAGTTTATGTATTTTGAGAGAAAAAGAGAGACAGAGGGGATGAGGGCAGGCAGAGAGAGAATCCTGAGCAGCCTCTGCACTGTCAGCACAGAGCCCAATGCAGGACTTGAACTCATAAACAGTAAACTATAGAGTTTACTATTAAAATAAAAATAATGCAGGGGGGCACCTGGGTGGCTCAGTCTGTTAAGTATCTGATCTGGATTTTGGCTCAGGTCCTGATTTCGTGGTCATGAGAATGAGCCCCATGTCAGAGTCTGTGATGAGAGCACAGAGCCTGTTTGGGATTCTCTCTCTCCCTCTTCCTCTCTCTCTCTCTCTCTCTCTCTCTCTCTCTCTCTCTCAAAATAAACATTAAAAAAAAAGTGCTGAACTGTGAGGAATATGCTGTCTTTTTGTTTTTTGGCAGTTTAAGAAAAGCAGATAAAAACTTTCAAAAAGATAAGACACCACTGCCATTGTTGTAGAACAAAAATAATATTACTATGTTTTCTGTACTTAGACATTCAAAACATCAAACAAGTAGAAAGTACTCAGTTTATTGGGTGGGGAAGAGGAAGATTGACCGTGGGTTCCAAAAACTCATGGAATGTACTTCTGCCAAGTAAAGTTTTAATCTTACTTTCTAAGCTGTTGGTATTGGCGACTTCCCCCCCCCCCCAAAGCTTAATTTATGTCTTTAGAAACTTTAAAAACTGAAGGACTATTTGGATTATGAGTCTCTTGTCTTTTATGTATTCACTAGTTTATTGATTTGGTGTAATAAATTAGTCATCTATAGATCTTTTACATGTTACCAAAGAGAAATACACAGCTGTCAAAAAGTAAGGGGCAGGGGAGTGTCAGAGACTGTCTCATACAAAAACCAAGTAAATAACCAGGTTTTTGGAGGGAATTCCTAGGCAGACTCCAAAAGATTTATAACCCAGAACTAAATTTCTAAAAATGGTTTATATTCTATGACATTTGAAGGTATTTGGATGTGCTTCTTATTTGGTATTCTGGTTGAATATAGTGACCTGTCTTCATCTGATAACCTAA